AACAGAAGCAAAACTGAAGGCATATAAGGGCTTTCCAGAAAATACAGGAAGGTTCCTAGTGAGTTTAGGCATCTCCATGGTTAGGGGACAATTGACCAGGGTATTCTAGATTATAGTTTTAGACTTAAGCACTTGCAACCTACCTAAGTCTAGGTTTAGACACCTAAATCCTTATTTGGATGTGGCCCTTAGGCATGACTGCAGCTCTCTAGCATTTGGAGGTAGCACCCCTTCCCTTCCCCACTCATATTATCCAGTATAAGATCTGCTTCAACTTACACCTCTGATTAATTCACCTCACCTGTTGTATATTTTGGGGCTCATCTAAATTATTCAAATCTGGAGCTATTCATAGCAATACATGCTGGCACTGTCAGGAAACAGGTGGCATTTGGTCCATATGCTATGGGCTGCCCTAAATACATTCAGTTCCATATCAGTACTAGTTAACATTGTACTTAACAGAGAACATGCTGTTTTGGAGTTGGTAGACATCACATGGTTTCAAAAAGCCATGATTGTAGAGAGCCCTGGCAGTGGCTAAAAGCCTTGTTTGTCAGTACTGGAAATCAGGATTGAAGATGCATGGCAATGTAAAAAGTCTGCTCCATAACAACAAATATTCAGACTGACACTTGGGCACACTACAGGAGTAGTGGCACTGTGATCAGTTTACAAGTCCCCTTCCTTCTTCTGCTCGTTATTCTTTCTACTACATTCTTCTGTCACCTTTCATTACCTGCTACTTTCTGTAGATGTCATGCTCTGTGTAATAGTTAATATGACTGATGGTCTCCATCACTGTTTGGCAACTTCCACTGTTACAGTAAAAATAGCATGCTTGCTCTGTTGGGCAGATAGGAAGCTACAGGAGTGATGGATGCAAAACCTCCTGCAGAATGAGATGCTCCACACAGCTCCCCAAACCTCTGCTGTCCCAGGTCCTTCCTGACTCGCTGGTTCACTTCCTTTTTCACAAAAGATCTGGATGTCGCTAATTAGCTATGAGACACAAATCCTGGTATAAGTGAGGCAAAGCCCCCAGCCAAACACTAGGGAAGGGCAAAGAATTGTGCTGAGAAACATCTCCTTGTCAAGAGTCAATTTCTGCATGGAAACTGCTCCTTTCCCCATTCTTTTGCCCCTTGGAACTCAGGCCAGGCTACCATTGGCAGTGCTGTACTACCAGCTCTGCAGGATAGGATACACCAAACAGGGGTGGGGGTAGGGAGGAGGAGGTGTTGCTCACCCTACTCAGAGATGCTTTGCCATGGGAGAAGAGAAAGGAACAAGAGGCCTTGGCCATAGAGTGAAACCCAACTGCACTCTGCTTTCTCATGCTGCAGTTCTCTAACTCCTGATGCTGATTCCAGTTCACATGAAACTCCTGCTCCTGCATGCCCACCCTACTACTTGCTGTTTGTCACCATCCCTAGCTGGTGCTCCTTCCTGCGCACCCCACACGGATGCAGCTCCCACTCAATGCCTGCATGGCCATCTGTCTTCTGCACTGCCACCATGTAAAGTGACTGGCACTTGGCTCTAATTAGAAACATAGAGGCGGTGAGGAAATGCCAAATTAGCATGTGCCATTCTTCGTTATGCTGACTGCAAGCATAAGATAGCAACTCCTCACTCAGCTTCAGGCAGGATGCCTCCCAGCCCCTGACCTCAGCCTGAAATACTGCTGCCTGTAATCACAGAGGGGAGCATCTTCAGCATATCACCTTGGGACACCTCAGTCATGAGTAAACTCAGATGAATGAAGCTGCCTTCGGCTACATACCCAGTTAATTCAAACTTAAAGCAAGTCCGAGCGCCTCCTACAGCCCCCACTGCTGCTGCACAGCTTTCACGTAGGAGTCGTGTCTCGAGTGCTATTCCCAGCTCAGTACTGGCGCAGGGACAGCCAGTCCCACACAAGCACTTGGCTGTGCCATGTGAGACGCCCACTGCATACCAGGACTTGCAGACAACCTGTTTGCAGGAGCCCCACAGAAGCAGCTTTGTGCTGGTAGCTGGCCCCATACCCCATGATAGCAAAACAGAACAGAGGCACCATAGCGTGTCTACCAAGCCCATGTTCCCATCAGGCACCACTGCCTCACCTGGAATTAGCACAATTCCCCATTCACCCCCTCAGGAGGAAGTCATATGGTGAGAGGGGAGACCGGCTGATCTGAGAAGACCATTTTCCTTGGTATTTTCTGAGTCCAGTTCCTCCCCCAGCCAAGGATAGCTGGGCAGCCTCACTCCCTGGTCTAGCTACTAGCAACAGTAGCTTAGTGCAGGAAAGGCAGGAAGTAAGCAACCTTTTCTCCAGCATGACAAACTACACAACCCAGCAAGCTGCCCTAAGCAGAGGGGAGACAAAGAGCTCAGTTCTCAAGTAGGAAGCTGGGAGCAGGACTTCCATTCTGAATCTTAATCTGTCCCTGAATTCATAATAGTTGGGCCACAGCAAGCAGTAAGGAAATAGTGTGGGAGTCAAAACTGAATGGGACAGCACAGACACAACAGCAGAGCTGGGCAGTAATTTTCCATCAAGACGGTTCTTTTACTTGACAGAAAAAATACCAGTTGTATGTTTTCTTGTGAATAAAAATAAGTTTTAACGTATAGAAAGAAGTTTCTATTCTGTTTTCCATTGGGAAAAATCAAATCCACATTTCAGGTCCATATTAGTCTGCATCCATGTCCTGCCTAATGCTTCATGAGTGGTGATCTGGGATCCCTGTATCACTTCACTTCGGATTGCAACTTAGCTTTTCTGTCCTTGGCCTCACAGCAACTCCAATGAGTTCAGACTCCTATTACGGACTTATCCCTTCAGGCAATGAAGCAACCAGCAAGGAACTGCAGAATCATAGGACAGCCTTTTCAAAACAGGCCAGCATTTGTCAGCCAACCAGAACACAGCATATGAGATTCTTAACTGCTACAGGAAAGCCAAACCTAACTCAGAGTCTCCAGGTGCCTATACATGTGCTCCAACATGTTTGAATTAGACTGCTTTGGTATTGCCAAAGCGTCGTGTTTATAAGCCCACACAGGTCTAAAAATGGCCACTGAGGCGCTTTAACTAAAGCTTGTCAAATGAGCTTTAGTTAAAAGTGTCTCACAGCCATTTTTAAACATGCAGAGGCTTAATACACAAGGCACTGCAGACTTTTAATTAGAGCAGCTCTCTGGAAACCACTCTAATTAAAACACCCCCTCCCCTCCCCCAGCACATGAAGGCAGCCCCTGTCAGCTTTCCTATAAGCCCAGGATGCCATCTCTGTCTGAATCTGTGCTCTGAAATTGGTCTCTTGAATATGAATGAGCCCAGTCCAGGGGATACAGGTGAAAGGAGACAGGCATCACCCTGCTCCAAGGCAGAGTGTCAGACTGAACTCTGGCAAACCTGGCACATGTTGGAAAGATGCCAACTCCACGTGGCTCTACTAGTACATCTCTGCCATACCCTGACTTTTCCTTACTATACAAGGCACAAAGGTGGCGCTTGAGAGCTTCTCTCAAGGGTAGCTCTGTTGCCCTGGATCTCACAAGAAAGGGTGGTGTGATGCTCCTCCAGATTCAGGAAAGGAATTGCAGGAAGCTCATGCAGGTGACTGGAACACCAAAGAGCAACTGCCCTGCACTGCTCACGCCACCAACTCACATTGTAAACACAGCCAGACCCATTTCTTGTGCTGTGGTTCAGCAGGCCTAAAACCATCAAGAAACTTTAAGCTCCCCTCAGCCATGCAGGCCACTGAGGACACAACAGCAGATTCCAGGAGACAACCAAAGTGAAAACAGGAGTGCGAGTGGGGGTTAAAGGTTGATAACAAGCACTCCAAGGGGAGGGGATGGGGAATGACACTGAGCAGAGCAAGCTGGCCAGTGCCCACTGGCCCTCAAATGAGCCCTAGGAGACAATGGACGGCACCCAGTAAAACTACTTACAGATGTGAACAGATAAAGGACAAGAAAATAGCCCTCCCCAAGGCACATGGGGTCCTCCCAGCCACAGACTCCTTTCTGGTCAGAGACATATAGCCAACTTAGCCAGGGCCAGGAAGAGGCTGATCAGGAGGTCTTGGGACTCTGTCACCATCTGGAGGGATCAGGAAAGGGGGCGCAAGGTATCTCTGTTTAGGGGCACTAACAGAAGTGATCTTTTGTCAGGCAATTGGCCCCTCGAAGCGCTCTACAGCCGTGCCCTAACAGAAGAGCACGGCTGCAGAGTGCTTAAAAAAGCCTGATTGTGCAACAAACTGAACCCTCATTACATGCGGGCTCCAACCCACCCACCCCAGCCTCCATCTCAGACTGGGCAAACCCCCACTCAAGCTTCCCCCCCCCCATTCTGTTGGGGAGGCGAGGCGAGGGGGCTTGGGGACAGCAGCTGCAGACCCGGCAAAGCGGAGCTCGGTCCCCAACCCTGGGCCGAACAGCGAGCACGAGCCGGGTGCGGCGGCCGCGGGCTCCGGCGGCAGAAGGGCGAGGGCCGCCCCCCGCTGAGCTGCATCTGGCCGCGGGCCCCGTGAGAGGGAGGCGCGGGGCTGGGCAGGAGCAGCCTGAGCGGCCCGTGAGGGAGGCTAAGACCCCGGCCGGAGGAGGGAGCGGGAGGGCAGCGGAGGGGGCTGGTAACGGGCGAGGCTGAAGGGCGATTCCTGGGAGGCCGCAGAGCGACTTGTCCCTGTGGCCGAAGTGGCTTGGATGAGGCGCAGCGGCCGCAAGCTGCACTGAGGGGCGAGGAGGCCGGGGCGGCCAAGCCGGGGCCCCTGCCCAAAGCCAGCGCGTGCCCAGGGCGGTCTTTGTGTAGCGGAGGCCAAATCAGCCAGAACTTATTCCAAGTCCAAATGTCCGGAATCACGCGGCCCCGGACACCACACAGCTAAACGCACAACCCCGACCCCGCCCCTGCCCCCGCCGGAAGTGCTATAGCCAATGGGAGGGGGCTCTCGCCCCGCCCCGGAAGCGACTCTTGCCCGGGCAGCTGCGGCCACAATATGGAGTCGCCGGTAAGCGCTC